CCTATCATTTCAGTTTCACAACATGGAGAAACTATTATTGTCTTCCATGTGCAGATGAACACACTGAGGCTCAGAGAGGTTAAATAAACTTACCAAGGCCACAAGGCCAATAGATGGCAGAGCTCCGATTTGAATTTAAAAACAACTGACTCCACAACCTGTGCCATCAGTGGTGGTACTTAATTTGCCCATTTGTGAAATCTATTTGTGCCCATTTGTGAAACCAAAAATGCTTGGGGCCTCCCCAAAAACCTATTGAAACATCATTTGGTGGCTCATGCCTGTAATCCCAGCACTTTGGGAGGCCGAGGCAGGCAGATCACAAGGTCAGGAGTTCGAGACCAGCCTGGCCAGCACAGTGAAATCCCATCTCTACTAAAAAAAATGCAAAAAGTTAGCCAGGCATTGTGGTGCGCACCTGTAATCCCAGCTACTCAGGAGACTGAGGTATGAAAATTACCCGAACCCGGGAGGCGCAGGTTGCAGCAAACTGAGATCGCACCACTACACTCCAGCCTGGGCAACAGAGCAAGACTCTGTCTCAAAAAAAAAAAAAAAGAAATGAAATAAATAAATGAAAGAAACATCACTTCTGGGCCTGTAATCACAGCACTTGAATGGTTTTGTTTGTTTGCTTGTTTTGTTTTTTTTTGTTTGTTTGAGACGGAGTCTCACTCTGTTGCCCAGGCTGGAATGCAGTGGCACAATCTCGGCTCACTGCAATCTCCGCCTTCCAGGTTCTAGCAATTCTCCTGCCTCAGCCTCCTGAGTAGCTGGGATTACTGGTGTGCACCACCACGCCCGGCTAATTTTCGTATTTTTAGTAGAGACCGGGTTTCACCATGTTGACCAGGCTGGTCTTGAACTCCTGACCTCAGGTGATCTGCCTTTCTTGGCCTCCCAAAATGTTGAGATTACAGGTGTGAGCCACTGCACCCAGCCAGAATGTTTTTAAGCTCCCCAAGTGTTTATGAGGTGCATCCTGGATTTGGAACCTTCCCCCTGTCTCTGATGGTTTTGTATTATTAATATGGGCTACTGACACCAGCTGGATGGTAAATATCTTGAGGGCAGGGCCCCCACCTCAAGCTTCCTTGTTGATGTCACTGTGACATCACAATGTCTGCACAAGTATCATTGGATGAAAGGATTCAGAGCAACTGCCACCCAGAATGTCAGTTGCCAGGGGGCTCCAGCAGAACTGAGGGACGAACAGTAGGTGCCTGAGAGCTGGCCGATCTGGTCACTCTCTCCAGTGGGCCACAGGGGCCCACTTGGTGGGCAGTCCCTGCTGCCAGCTAGAGCATCTCAATTCAGCCCAGAGCAAAGAGGTGTAGGGACATAACGCTTTCCTCAAGCTTCCTTTCCCAGGTCCAAACTTAGAGGCCCAGTTTTGGGCCTAGAATTCACTGAGGCTTGTGGCTGTTTGTCCAATAGTCACCATGGATCACCGAAGCCGACTACGGGGCATAGGCCTGAACCGAATCCCTGGGACTCAGTCCCGAGCCCCCCGAGTCCCACTCCCCTTCCACGTGGAACAGGAGGCCAGGGGAGGAGAAGACTGGGAGCGAGAGCCACCTCGTCAGAGGCCTCCTATCTATGAGCCACCAGAAAGTGAAGAGCTGCCAGATAATGTTATGGGTAAGGACACACCCTCCCTTGGCAGAAGGAGGCTAGCGTCACCTTTTTCATCCTTTACCTCCAGGAAGCAGGGTCTGGGAAGCAGAAAGCAGAGTATACAATGGGCAGAACTAGGGTGAGGGATGAGCTTGGAAGGGGGAGATTTTTCTATCTGCCACAAAGGGTTGTTTCACAAGAGTAAGGATAAAATATGTGAAAGCAATTTGAAACTGAGGCTGTTTGGAATATTAGGTGTTATTTATAAAATCAGGTGTTTGCAATGTCAGTTGCTTACTGTGGGCCAGGTTCTTTGGGAAACAAAGACCAATTACATTTTGATTTCAGCCCCAGAGAGCCCACAGTCTAGTAGAGGAAAGACAAACTTAGGAAGGTTTCTGCAGGATTCAGAAAGATAACAGGTGCTTACAGAAAACAAACGTAACATGTTCTCACTTAATTGTGGGAGCTAAAAATTAAAACAATTGAACCCATAGAGATAGAGAGTAGAAGAATGGTCACTAGAGGCTGGGAAGGGTAGTGGGGTCCTGGGGAGGAAAGTGGGGATGGTTAGTGGGTACAGAAATATAGTTAGAATGAATAAGACCTAGTATTTGATAGCACAACAGGGTGACTATAGTCAATAACAATGTAATTGTATACCTTAAAATAACTAAAAGAGTATAATTGGATTGTTTGTAACACAAATGATAAATGCTTGAGGTGATGGATACACCATTTACCATGATGTGATTATTACACATTGTATGCCTGAATCAAACTATCCCATATACCCCACAAATATATATATGTATATATATATATGCACATATATACACACATACCTACTATGTAGCCACAAAAAATTTTTAAAACTTTTAAAAAGAAAGATAACAAGTACTTGCAGGAAGACAGAGTGCACCCTTGGATCATACAGGTTCATGCCTGTAATCCCAGCACTTTGGAAGGCCAAGGTGGGTGGATCACAATTAGCCGGGCGTGGTCGCGCGCACCTGTGATCCCAGCTACTCAGGAGGCTGAGGCAGGAGAATTGCTTGAACCTGGGAGGCGGAGGTTGCAGTGAGCCGAGATCATGCCACTGCACTCCAGCCTGTGCGACAGAGCAAGACTCTGTCTCAAAAAAAAAAAAAAAAACCACACACCTAACGCAGGGTTAAGTTGTAACGTTACCTGTTTGCTCTACAGTTCCTTTCCAGCTGGAAGAGAAGAAATGGTCTAGGGATATGGCTTTTCAGGTTAGACTTTTCTTCCCCAAGTTTTCTGGGGACCTGAAAAGGGCTCCGACTCGAGAGAGGAGTCATGGCTGTTCACAAAGATCACTGCAAGGAAAATAATAAGAAATGTCTGTTACAGGGATAAAACGCAAGCTATTCAGAGGCAGAAAGGTTAGTTTCCCTTTTGAGGGGCAGGGGGTGGCATGGGATGAGGAGGCTTTTTGGGAGAGATGGGCGTGGAAGGATGTCTAACAAGTGCTGGCGGCGAGGGTCGTTGGCCCTTCAATGGTGGGAAGACAGCCATGGGCGAAGCTTTGTGGAAGAAATAGGTGTGAAGGATGAGAAGGCCTAAAACAGTGCTGAGGGCGCGAGGCAGTCACGGGCAAGGGTGCGAAGGCTCGAGGCCTGTCACCGGCAAGCGTGCGAGGCCAGTCATGGGCAAGGGCGTGAGTCCTGTCACCAGCAAGGGCTCCAGGCCAATCACCGGCAAGGGCTCGAGGCCTGTCACAGGCAAAGGCGCGAAGGCTGGAGGCCTGTCACCTGCGAAGTTCTGTGTACAAGATGGGCCCGGAAGGATGAACGGGAGTCTAAAACAGTGCTGAGGGTGGGAGTGCAGGAGATCAATCACAGGTGACGACACAAGGGGGTCTTAGTCCAGTTGGTGGACGCTCGGTGGCCTGGGCCTGCCCCCAGTGCGCAGGCGCACACAGCAGGTCACAGAGGGAAGACAGCGCAGGCGCACACAGCAGGTTGCAGAGGGGGAGATGGGTGGGGAGGGCAAGGAAAAGGCCAGGGATTGGGTGATGGGGCAATTGTCAGAAGAAGGAACAACACTGCTGGGAGAGTTTTCTGGTAACTTTTCAAGTCTTCATTTAAATTTAAAATAAATAAAAAAAGCTACCTTTGAAACAATAGATTAGGTCACCAAAAACTGCCGTTCACCCTTGCCTGCTGGAGGAAAGTAAATGGTTAGACCTATCCTCTCTAAGTTTTTCCAGCACTTAAAAGAGCTGCAAGTAGTGCAGATCATGGCACTGTTCACACAAATCACTTCGAGAAAAAAATTAGTAAATGTATATTAGATCTTGAAACTTATTCCTGTCTATCTGGAACTAGGTAACCTTTGACCAACAACTAACTCCCCATTCCTTCCCTCTCTCCCCGCCTTCCCTACTGCCCAGCCTCTGGTAAGCAGCAGGGTAAATTTTACAGTCAATAATAATGTGTATTTCAAAATGAATAAGAGTAAATTTGAAATGTCTCACCATAAAAGTCATAGGTAAACAAGGCGATGGATAAGTTAATTAATGTGATGTAATCATCCCACATTGGATACATATTTCAAAATATCACATTGCATCCCACGAATGTATACAATTATGATTTGTCAAACATAATTTTTTAAAATGTTAAGTGACTCTTAAAAAGCTTATTAGAAGTATAAAATGCAAGCCATTCACAAGCATATAGGCTAGATTCCGCTTGTGGGGGCTTGTGTGCAGTGGTGAGGCTTTGTGGAAGAGATGGGCGTGGAAGGATGTCTAAAACAGCGCGAAGGTCAGGAGACCTTGTCGCAGCCTTTGCAGAGTTGGACTACGCTCCAGATCCTGGTCCGCCGCGGGACGCAGGCGCAAATGCAGGCTTGGGAGAGGGGAGGCGGGGCCGGCGCCCA